GTGGCCCTAGTGGATCTACCTCTAGATGGATGCAGTTACTTTGGCACCAGCATCAGGTCTTTAGGATGAAGACCATTGGAAAGAGGTAACATTTATAATGCAAAAGAAGCTTGTAAAGCTTAGGCTAAAAAGCCCACATTATTTCCACCACACTAAGAAAAATGATTAGGAAAGATATTTTAAGCTTGCCTCTTCCATAATCATTCTCCCTTTTGAACGTAATCACAGTAAAGTCAGCCAAGGAACTCCTCACCTCCTCCCCAAAATAAGAGTCTAGAGTCTCCACATGTCAATGTGGGGGTATATCCAGGCAAATATCAAGAATGGGGCTTTTGTTTTACTAATCTTTGTCTTCTGGGAGTTGTATGTGATCTCGTTCCTGGGTAAGTTAAGATCTCAGTAAATGTTTATTGGTTTTTAACTAATCAAAGTCAAAATGTGGATTGTATTTACTAATTTCCTGCCACATGTTAAAAGACTAGCTTTTAATCTTGCTGTCATCACTGACAGTTGTGTGTGATTTTGATCAGTTGATTTTCATTTTGGTTAGTTACATTAAATCATTAATTCAAAATTGTATTAGGTTCCTACAGTCCACCAGGCATGTATACAATTGTGTCACATAGCCTCTCACCACAGTTTGTAATCTAGTGGAGCTTAGTGATAGGCCAATAGGCAATTTATCTAGTGAAAAATACCAAGAGAAGTGAAGTTTTGGTATTTGGGGAGCATTCAGAATGAGGGCAATTTCTAAAATAAGATTATTGAACAGCTACAAATCATGATTGATAGCATGTCTTTTAAAATGAATATAAGCCATACCTAAATACCCATTTGCTTATCATTCTTGGTGTTTGGTAACCTGTAATTATTAAAGAGTCATTAAAAAATTATTAGACTTTGCGCAGCCCACACATTCTCTGCAATAGTTATCCACAAAAAGAGGAAACTGAAGTAGATAAGTTCTGAGACAACTTCAGTGCTAAATTGTTTGATGTTTCAGTTATGATCAAAAAAGAAATTTTGAGGTCCAGCAGCATGTGACAATGCATATATAGCAAAAAAAAAGTAAAGAAGAGGCAACACCAACTTATATTTCAAGCAGAGATTAAGTCAATAAAACATCTTCAATGTTATATTACTTTATATTTTAATTACTGTTTAGTGTGTAATCTTTTTAATTTTATAAAGGCTAAGAGCATGTTTACATATTTGCACTATTTTTATGCATTAAACCATGTTTTAATAAAAATAATTCAAGACAATACTGCATCCACAAGAATTTTTCCTCCTTAAAGATACTTATACATTACTCAAAATTAAGAAACTCAGGTAATTACACATTTTACTTTTGATGTACTTTATGATTTTCACTTGAGTATTAAGATAACTGAAGAAAAGTCTGTTGCCCACTTTAAATGTCTGTATAGCCATTACCATTAGGCATATTTTTTAAATTATAGCAATTGAAAGATAATTTATGATAATGAATATAATCTGGACATTTGACCATCATTACTTATTTGGCCAACAAGGCTTGAGAAGGGTAAAATACATTTGTCAGTTATCAACTGTGAAGAAAATCTGCTTTTCTTCCTTAAAATAAGGGCTGATAAACTACAAAGGTTATAAAATCCCACTCCTGTGTAATAATGGAGTTCCAATTACCATGATTGTAAAAGGATGTCTTTGAAATCCAAAAAATGATATAATAAATTTTATTACATTTTAATTAAAATCTATCACATTATAGTGTAAAATTTCCAGATTACTTTGTAAAGCTAATTATTAAAAGGCTGTTTTTTTTAAAAAAGCTATTATATTAGATGAAGAATATACACTGAATTATTAACAGTGCTTCCTTATAATCTTTTAATTTTTTTTTACTCAACTACTGCATTGAACAAGCAACTAAGTTTTCACTCTCAATCAGTTCTGTGATTTGCTTTTTTACTGACCACAGGTTTCTCATTACTGTTGGTTTCTTAGTGCCAACTATTAGTCTTACTTTGGAGGTAGAATATTAACTTTGCTTTTATAATCTTTTGGTTGCCAAGATTTCTAGTAAGGTAGCTCCTTAGAACAAGATAAAAGATTCACATGTCTACATTGGACAGCATATGGATCACAACCTTTACGTGGTATTGGTCAGTTACTCACTTAAGGATAATTCCTACAATCTTTCCAAGTTAAGAAAGTGAGATCTAGCTAGCTTATATTATTAATTTCATAAATGAACCTGCCAAAAATTTATTGGGTTGATCTTATGGACTACATGTAAAAATGAACAAGCCCCTAGGAATTTTCTCAGGTCAGAATATCCTCTAAAGGATTTCAATGCCATACAACCTCTTCATATTCAATTATCTTCTTTTATCATGCACTCACTCCATGAGTTCCCAAAACTCCTTTATTAACAAAATGATGGTTCTGACTTGTCAATTTATTTTCAGTTTCATGAAATACCTTCATTAATTTTCTCTTCAGAAAATAAGGTGTTTTACTTCCAATGTCCTACTTTTTAAAATAGTCAACATTTTCAGTATGAACTATAAGATTTCCATCTACTCTTTATAACTTCTATAAGGCATATTAATTTTAGCATAAAAGGTATTCTATGTCCATGCATTTCCTGCTTTTAAGTAAATACAGTACTGGGTTGGAATGTACTGCTAATGCTCCAATCAATTCTATAATATACCACATCCATCCTTTTTTGTTTCCATTTTATATACAAAATGTATACACTTTCCAAAATCTTGAGTTGGAATCCTTTAGTGAATATAACCAAGTCAATCAAGTTGGTACTGAAAAATTATATTGATACTTATCAGAAAAGTAAAACCAGAGCCTTTTAGATCTTCACCAGCAACAGATACTATGATATACATATATGTCAAAAAAATACTTATAAAAGGAAATCTGAAAAAAAATTCCTTAAATACCACCCAAATCCAATTATTCATGATATGAGTTTATCATTAGTATTTAGTGTCTTTAGTATGTTAAGAATACAGCCATGTGTTAAGACATAAAAGTTTTGACCAAAGTCTATAATTTCACGATGTACCTACCAGAACAATCCAAAGCCACACATACCAAATCTACTAACGAAAATGCATTAATATTTTCTAGCTGTGTCCTCCAAATTTTCAGAAAAACATGAATTTCATATGTATTTATCAATAACAATATATATTTAGTGAGAAAGACTTAAGTCAATGAATTTGTATTAAGTAATCCAGATTAATATTTTATGGGATTCAAATAAATTCACTCTCTAGTCATTTATCCAAATCTGAAGTGTGATAAATTCTTTTAAAAGTATAATCTAAAATTGTAAGTTTTTGTATTTTACATAGTAAGACTTAAAATACTACTGACTATCCTTACAAAGTTTATGATCCAAAATTCTAAAACCTCCATGAGAACAAATGCTATTACTATAAAATACTAAAATAAATATTTTTAATTAGCAATTCTGAAAATTAGTAAGTAATTAAAACCATTAAAACATAACGCTGACCTAACAGGACAAGAATTTTATTTTACTAATCTTTATTAATATAAGATCAGCCCCTAGGGTCTCACCTGCTGGCCTTTTAAACAAATTTCAAAGGCAATTTTACAGTTCAATTTAGTTAATACTATACACTCCTTCCTATCTTAGCCACTTTACAATACAAAGGAAAAACAGCTTCAAAACTACTGCCTTAGTAATGTTACTACAATTAAGAGTGGCTCTATATTAACTCCCATAATCAACCAGTGTGTCTTAGATTGCCATGTACATCTTGATTGTAACATGCAAATGGATCTGCTTTGGAATTGGCTAATTGGCATGCAGATTTCAGCAGAGATCCATAGTCCCAAAAATAAAAGAGAAATAAACATTATAGGGTTAACTCAAACAACATACACTTGGGGGAAAAAAAACCTTCACAATAGTGGTTACGAGAAAAGGAAAAGAGATCAAGATACCCAGATTCTCAGCCCATCAATATATAATTTAACAGCATGCAAATGGTTACTAGCTCCTGTGTATGAGAAGACACGTTTTCAAAGTGGAAAAGTTATTAAAGAGACTAATTTAGACTACTCATAACCATCAGACTCATATATAACAGTGTAATTCAAATTCAATCACCTTCAATCATTTAAAAATTTTATGAATGTATTCCATTTCAAACCTATTTTAACAAATCCACATATGCACTAATTTGTATCTATTTATTGTGTCATTTTAAAGCATTTTAAACATCTTTGATAATTAAAATAGAATAGCCGTGTTGAAATTAAGTTTAGAAAAGTTGTCACTGACTTTAATTAATGTATTATTGACCAAAAAAAGGTGGCTCAAAGCTTTAAATTTGAATGAACTTGATGAAAAACATGTCAGAGCATGTTTGAGAAATTTGTCCTTGTTACCTGACCAACTATTTTTTTCAGTGAATTCCATAAGAGTATTTTCCAACAAAGCAGTATACCCAGTGCTTTGAAATGAAAAAGTGACCTAAAACTTCACATCACTTTGATAAAAGCAGAACGCAAACTATCAGTTCAGAATTACATATATGCCAAAGTGGAAATTAAGTGGAATACATAAAATTAATCCCAGTTAGTATTAAAAGCATTGGGGAAAGAAATGTCACAGAAAAATAAAGAAAAAAAAGATATTATGAAGAAAAAATGAAATGTATATTTGGATAACTGGCAATCTATAAATCTATGAAAACTGCTAGAATTCAAACATCTTTTTAATATATTTCTGGTGAAATCAAAGTCAAAATATAATACCTGGGATTTTCCTTCTCCAAAGAAGAAATTAATCAGGTCATTTGTTCTCTGAAATACTCTACAAATTCCAATTCAAAAGAAGTAAATTAAATAGGATAGATAATAAAAGGTGTGTATGAATGAAAAGGTACAGTAATTCCAATTTCTGATACTTCAGCCAGGTACTGTACATATACCACATCAATATAATAGAAATGGCACAGTTTCTGAGGACACGATCCACATTTTATTTACATTTTAAGACTAACTTTAATCTCAAAATCACATATCCATACACCTATTTCCTTTTTGTTGATTTCACTTAAACTTAAATGCATGGTTTGTCAAACAAAACTGTAAACAAATATTTACCATGTCTGTTACATGTCACACACAGGAACAGCATTTAAAAGAAATTCATCGACCTTTCCCACGACATTTTTTTATTATAAATACAGGTATCAAAACAATCCTGAACATATTTTTGATACTACTAGTAGTCAATACCCACACTTCAAAAATTAAAATAATTTGTGACAAAATGCTTGTACCTGCTACTTTAGACAATTTAAACTGAAAACTCTTTCACTAAGCAAGATGGATAAAGCATGCCATTTCTTTTTCTGTCTTGAGATTTCTACTTTTTAGAAATCCACATGCTTCCACAGCTATCTGACGCTTCTCACCATATTTTCATCTTGTAAACCTGAATTCTATTTTGAGTGCTCAGGTTTATGTTTAAATGACAGTGTCTTAAAAAAACTGTGCTGCATTTTCCCTCCTGTTACCCGAAAACATAATGGTGTACATATATTAAATATATTCTTACATGTATCCAAGTCATGTTTACCAGCTGGAATTCTTTTACTTAATATGTGGGTATTTTGCATTGTGATATTTAATCAAGACATTAACATGAGAAGATTGTTGATTTAAGACAAGTTTAAGATCCACTAAAATTAATTGTTGTATGTTTGTCCTTCTGGTGGCTGCGGAAGCTTCATATTTTCTTTGGACATCATTAGACGTCTAAGCTCTTGAAGTACAACTTTAATGCTATATGAATTTTGCCATTTTGCTAACACTGGTATACTCCGTGCATCCACCTGAAAGGAGAGAAAAAGAGTTAAAATTAACTACCAAGATTAAAGTACTATGGCATCAATTTATTAAACAAACTTTAAATAAGTCCTTTTAAAAATTCATCGCCTGGCTCTATTTTCACAAAAGTTAACATTACAAATATAATATTTAGGAAAAATATTCCTTCTTTAACAGGTGTTTCCTAAAAATTTGTGTCTTTTGTGTGTGCTTTTCTATATTTTACAAATAAATACGTAGTGAACTTTGGTCATCAGTAATAATCAAACATTATACTAAATAATTACACTGTAAACATCTTTACCAACTCTTTCTTGATGAAACAAGGTTGAAAGGCTCCTCTCCATTTCCAATACCACTATCACAAATCTGGGCAATTATCTTCATTGAGATTTAGGAAAGAACTGTGAGCCTGATCTCTGCTTTCAGATTTTTCTTTCCAATGTATTCTATGCACCATACTAAGTTAATATTCCACAGTGGAAGACTGACAGAAGGGAGATAGCCTCATTCCAAAGTAACTGTCGTCACTCGAACTATCTGGGAATTCCCTGGAAAATGCCATTCGCAGGGCTTTTATCTGACCTCAGAACTCACCTACTAGGTACTGCTTATTCTCTCACCCACCCACCGCCACCGCCACCGCCACCCCTACCCCTGGCATTTAAATCAGTGTCAATTGTTTAACATCTCTGCTGTCTGGGGAGGCAATAACAAAGCAAACAGGAAGGTGGCCAAAATACTTTCAAGGACATCTACAGATGTCCATAGAGCCTATGAAAAGTTCTACCATATGCCTGTGAATCTAGAAGACCAAACATGTATAGGTCCATGCACAGGCTCATGAAAGACCTGAGAAGCCTATAAATTCTCACCTGTGTGTGACCTGGAACAACATTTAAAAAAGATTATGCAACATAGACAAGTGGGATTTATCTAAGAAAGGTAAAGTTGGTTCAACATTTTAAAAGTCAATGTAATACATCATATTAATAAAATAGAGAAAAAACATAATTATCTCAACAGACACAAAAAAGCATTTGACAAAATCCAATAACCTTTCATGATAAAAATACTCAAACTAAGAACAGAAATTGCTTCAACCTAATAAAGAACACCTATAAAAATATACAGCTAATATCATATTTAATGGTAAAAGACTAAATACTTTCCCCTGATATGAGGAACAAAACAAGAATTTCCATTCTCATAACAGCTATTCAAGACTGTACTAAAAAAGAAGAAAAAGAAAAAAAAATTGTACTGGAGATTCTAAACAGGCAATCGGGCAAGAAAATGAAAAACATCCAGGTAGGAAAAAAAAGTAAAATTATCTCTATTTGCAGTTGACATGAGCTTGTCCACAGAAAATCCTAAGGTATCCATTAAAGAAACTATTATAATAAGCACAGCAAGGTTTCAGGATACAGGATCAACATACAAAAACCAGTTGTATGTCTGTGCACTCGCAAAGAACACTCTGAAAATAAAAGGAAACAATGCCAGTTACAATAGAATAAGAGAATAAAATACATAGGAATAAATTTAACAAAAGTTTAAGACCTGCACACTGAAAATTAGCAAATATTGTTGACTGAAATTAAATAGCTAAACAAAGGGAAAGCTTTCATGTACATGGATTAGAAGACTTAATATTGATTGTTAAGATGACAATATTTCTCAAAGTGGTCTATAAATTCAACACAATCCCTATCAAAGATTCGATTTTTTTTTTTTTGCAGAAATGGTCAAGCTGATCCTAAAATTCATATGAAAATGAAATGTACCCAGATAACCAAAGCAGTATGAAAAAGAACCAAGTTCTGCCAATTTCAACTCTTACTGCAAAGATACAGTAAGCAAGAAGGTGTTGCTTATATAAGGATAGATATACCTATCAAAATAAATCCATGCATCATGCGTACACAGGGAACTGATCTTTGACAAGAATACACAATTAGGAAACGACAGTTTCTTCAATTAATGGTGTTGAGAAAACCAGATATCCACATGCAAAGGAATGGAGTTGGACCCTTAACTCTCACCATACACAAAAAGTAACTCAAAATAGATTACAGACCTAAATTAAGAATGAAAGCTATAAAACTCTTGGAAGAAAACGAAGAGTAAATCTTTCTGACATTGCATTTGGTAATGGTTTCTTAGATATAATACCTAAAGTACATTTGACAAAAGAAAAAAATAGATAAAATGGCTACATCAAAATTAAAAATTTTTGCATTGCAAACCATACCATCAGGAAAGCAAAGAGACAACTCATAGAATGGGAAAAATACTTGCAAATCATATATTTAGTATATAAAGTACTCTTACAACTCAATAATAAAAAGTCAACTATCTCAATTAAAAATGTGGGCAAAGGAAGACTGTGGTAGTCAGTTATGGAATGCATGTTTGTGTTCCCCCCAAAATTCATGTTAAACCCTAACCTCCATAGAGATGGTATTAGGAACTGAGGTCTTTGGGAAGTAATTAGGTTTAGATGAGGTCATCAAGGTGGAGCTCCCATAATGGAATCAGTGACCTTTTGAGACGAGAAAGAGACTAGAGCCTGCTCTTACCTCTTGTGAGGATAAGTCAGTTGTCTACAATCAAGGATGAGTTCTCACCAAAACCCAACCATTCTAGCATGTCGCCTCCAGAACTTGTGAGAAATAAATTTCTGTTGTTTAAACCACCCAGTATATGGTATTTCTGTTATAGAAGCCTAAACAAAGAGAGCAGCTTTTAAAATGGCTCCCGAAGATTTTCAACTCCTGATATTCACATCTTGTGTAATTCCTCCCTTTGAGTAAGGGCTCAATCTAATGATTTGCTTCTAATGAGTGGGCTATTGAAATGTCAGTTCCAATATTGTTACAAAAATAGTATCGCTTCTATCTTGATCTTTCTTGCTTTTACTCCTTGCTACACAGAGGAAGTCAGTTGCCACGTTGTGAACTGCCCTGAACAGAGGCTTACATGGCAAAGAACCAAGGATGATCTCTGACTAACGATGTCCAAGAAACTGAGGCCCTCAGTCCAAAAACCCACAGAGAACTGAATACTGACAACAACCAAAAAATTAAGGTTGGAACTGGATACTTCCTTAGCCAAGAATCCAGATGAGACCACAATACAGGCTGACATTTTGATTGCAATGTTGTGAGAGACCCTGAGCCATAGGACCCAGTGAAGCTGAACTACATTCCCGGCCCACAGAAACTGTGAGATAACAAATCCTTGTTGTTTTAAACTGCTTTAAAAATAGACAAAGAATCTGAATAGGCATTTCTCCAAAGAAGATATACAAATGGCCAATAAGCATCTGAAAATGTGCTCAACTTCATTAGCCTAATTAGAGAATTGTAAATCAAAACCACAATGAAATACCATTTCACAACACATGGGGATGGCTATAAAAAAAAAAAGACACAGACAGTAACAAGTATTGACAAGGATGTGGAAAAGGTGGAATCTTTAGATGCTGGTGGGAATGTAAAATGGTATGTCCACTTTGAAAAACAGTATGGTAGTTCCTCAAAACTTGAGTTGAGTATGGTAAGTTGAGTTACCATATAATCCAGCAATTCTACTCCTAGGTATTTACTGAAGAGAAAACAAAATATTTGCCCACACAAAAACTTGTACACAAATGTTCACAGCATTATTCATGATAGCCAAAAGTGGAAAAACCCAAATGTCCAACAGGTAATAAATATCCAGATATACAAAATGTGATATTACCCATATAATGGAATAGTATTCAGCAATAAAAACAAAGTACTAATATACGCTACATCATAGATGAACCTTGAAAATATGTTAAGTGAAAGAATCTAGTAACAAAAGAACACATATTGCATAATTCCATTTATATAAAAAGACCAGAATATGCATATCTATAAAAACAATAAATTAGTGGTTGTTTAGGGTGGGGGAGAAGGGATGGAAAGTGACAACTAATGTGTGAGGGGTTTGCTCTGAGAAAAACAAAAATGTTCTGAAATTGGATTATGGTAATGGCTCCACAACCCTGTGAATATTAAAAAACATTGAGTTATACACATTAAATGAATCAATTGTTATGGTTATGTAAATTATATCACAATAAAACTTTAAAAATAGAAAGAAAAATAATTTTTATAATTTTCTTACAAGTAACTGAAATAAGAATGTTAAGATTAATTCTAAATGCTTTAATGTAAAGGAATAGCAATCCCATTAGCATATTTTTAAAAACTCCACAAGTGAACAAGTTTATAAAATAGACTGAGAGAATACCAAGTTACTTTCAAAGCCAAAGCAAACACTTCCAGCTGTAAAGTTAAAAGACAGTTAAATAAACATAAATGACTACAAATCCTATAAAATAACAAGAAAGCATAAAAATTTTTGAGAAAAAAATAGATGAAAAGGGAGGAGGGGAGGAGAGCAAAAAGAGGATGGGAAAACAAATATCATGTCAGAACAAATCTGCATCTTATCAGTCTTTGATAAACAATAACCTCTAAAACTTGACACCTCAGCATAAAGCACTGTAACTTAGGCTTTACAGCAGTAACCATCCACAAAGAATAATTTTGACAATAGTTGTATTAAATAACTATACACTAAAATGACTGAAGAAATACCCATAATTCATCTGGTACTTAAATAATCTCAAAATACATAAAATTATCCTGGCACGATCAACAATGGTCAATGTAAAATTCTGAGCTATTTACTAGTTAAAAAAGTAATAATTTAAATTCTTAGATACCAACCAAGAAAAAAACTGACATCTAATATATTCACCCTACTTTAACCCTCTACACATACCTACATTCTAGTAATTAAAATCAGTATTTATTTTTCTGTTTCCAAAATCCCATTCCAGCTGGACAACATGAAGTGTGGTAGGAATGAACATTCACAGGGTACTCTTACACAAAGCTAGTGGGACAGACATGGAGGTAGAGCCCTGCAGAGAGCCACCTGGCAATGTTCAACCGGACTGAAGACAAGTCCCACACTCAGGAGACATTCCACTTCTAGGTCTACACCCTAGAGCAACTGCTACCCAAAATTTATGCTCCGTGGAACAATTCCAGGCTTTGAACTGATTTTTACTTATCCATGACAAGATAAACATATAAATTGAGAGTGCTTAGAGAGTTCTACAGCAATTTGACAGAGAATTTTTTATTTTAAAAAATCTGAGCTTATATTTGCTTTCCTAGTATTTCAATTTTATTATATTTTACAAAAATATCCACAAATATTGAAACCAATGAACAAATACTCAGTCCAGTGAAACACTGCCTTAGGGTGCAAGAATGCTCTACAAGAATGTTCAATGTAGCAATTTTTTCAGTGAAAACTGAAAAAAAAAAAAAAAAAACCCTAATGCCTAACAAGTGAATAATGGAATATTAAGCAATTAAAAAAAAAAAATCTAGTTTGCATGATTTAACATGGATGGACCTCAAAAATCACTGACATATGATTCTACCTAAAAGTGATAACAATATAGAGGCATACACACATTCTTCATAGTTAAAGCACAACAATCATGGACAGAAATTATAAACACCAAATTCAAGATGGGACTACCTCTGAGAAAGAGCAAAGAGGGAAACTGGAAGACACATCAAGTTATTTATTTATAATGCAGTCTTTAAAAAACACCAAAAGCAAGGGAAAAGTGATAAATTTACAGTTAACTGCTACAAAGAAAACAAATAACAATGTGACTATAATAGAGTAACATAGACATAATTCAGACTGGGGAATCAGAAAAGATTTCTCTGAGAAAAGTGACATTTACACTGAGAACCTATAAAGTTAGCCAAAGTGGAGATGTCCAGACACTAAGAACAGAAAGTGCAAAGGTTCTAAAGCCAAGTGAAAGGTGTGTAGGGCAGTGTACATCCTGCCAGCTCCTCATGAGCCATGGCAAGAAGTGTGCACACTGTGGCTGAAGTCATTAAAGGATTTAAAGCACAAAGGTGACATGACACCATCAGTGTTTTAGAAAGAAAGACCCCTCTGTCGGCTTGCCTTGTAAAGACTAGAGGAGATAAAAAAGTAGAAGCAGAGAGGTTGTTGCAAAAGTCCAGACAAGAGATGATAGTCAAGACTCATTTGGTGACAGTGTAAACAGAAATATAAGACCTGATTCAAGTTACATTTTCAACAAAGACTGACAGGACTTAATGATAGGTTGAGAACAAAAGAGAGACAAAACGTCAAAAGGTAAACAAGAAGCCCATGAGTTTAAACAAAGGTCATCAAATGTTTGTTGGAGATTGCTAAAGGTCAATCTGAAACTGAATCCTGAATTTCCTAGTTCCCACAACAGTGCAGAACCTACCATCGATTACTTAATTTATGGAGTCTATAATGTGAAAACAAACAGCAGTTCGAAGAAAAGTTACTCCTGGTAGAGAAATTTAACAAAAATATCTTTCTCATAAAGGCAATGCTATGACACAAAAGAAATTCCCTAAACAATATCCTTTCTGTAAATTCAAAATGTTTCTTAATCCTGCTTCTATCACATCTCATCACTACCTGACAGAAATAGTTAAGTATCTACATTGTAATTTCAGGAATAACTACTGAAAGAACAGAAACAAAATGAAAAAAGTTAACGATCATTTCAAATGTAGGCAACAAACACATGGGAAAATAGAAACCTCAAAATAAGATGATTTAAATCTGAACAAATCAATAATTACTGTACATTAAATGTAAATGGACTAAATGCTCCGATAAATTACAAAGATTGACAGAATGACAGGGACGACTCTTAGGGCCTAGGTATGAATTGGCACATAGCATGTAGGGAGGTTTGAGAGTGACTCAGCAGGTCTCGATTTGAGATTTCTAATGACCTTTCCATCTTCCTCCTCTTTCTGGGTCATGCTTTCAGTGCACCCAGCAGGAAGGTGAGAGCCTATCTGGAGCCCAGCTTTAGGCCTGCATACTAGGTTGGGGGGTGAGAGGAGCTATCTGTGTGCTCAGGGCTCAACCTGTTGCCAGAATTATGGTTACATGCAAGGAGAATTGAGCAAATATAAATAAATATATCGGGGACAATGGGAGCCAAGTTTCTCACTGTTGGAGGAGAGAATTAAAATATGGGAAGGATGAAAGTTGGAATAAGACTTGTACTGTTGGAATAGAATTGCAGGCACTGGTATAAATCCATGGTTTTTGATAGCTAAACAGACAGGAAGGAAGAAGAAGGGTGGGAAGATAGGTGTACATATGTTATACATTAGGTAAAACTATAAAGAAAAATTTAAAAATATAAAAGAAAATTTTCAAGATGTTAATTACCATTGGTGGAGAAAAAATAAAGGATGGATGAGGAGGAGCACATGACAAGTTAAAGATATTGGTAACATTCTATTTCCTGTGATGGATGATGTTTATTTTACATTATTATGTTTCCTAACTTGTATTTTGCATGTGAGTGTGCTCTCAGCATGGCACCTCAAGAGTCTGAACTTTAGTCTTAACATGAACCTAACAATCTACTCATATTGGAAATTCAGCTATTTCTACTTTCTTGCATGAGTCAGGTAGAGTGTATCGTTTGGTTTATTTGCTTTAAATAAACAATGCTCAATTATGACTATTTCAATACAAAAATACTTGTTTCTCAAAGAAAAGCCTCTTCTTCATGAATATTCATCCTTTTAATCTCACCAAATATAACTTAACCCTAAAGAAAACTAACATTCAAAAAAAAATAATAATAATGGTCATCTTTTTACCAAATAAGGACTCAATGAAATATCACTGCTGAAGCAATTAATAAAACCCTAAGAGAAGTATTACTATCACATCTATACAGGCTGGTACATAAAGGTTTTTAAGGATAGGTTGATTTATAAAAGAATAAACACATAATATAAACTTCTTTAGACTTTCAGCTAAACAAAGGTCCTTTTCTCTTTAACCTTCTCCTGACTATATATTATAGGTTATATAATTTTAAAAAAATGACTACGTTAACTTACCATTCCACTGGAATTATTTATTCCATTCATATTAATTTTGGTTACAAATCTAACTGATGGAGGAGCTTCTGGGTATTTAGGTCCACATTCTACTTTCAGGCTATATATTCTGTTTTCATAATTTGTCTGGAAGGCAAAAAAATAATAATATTCAAGTGCTAATAAAGAGGAAAAGTACAATGTGAATGTACTGGATGTTACTGTATGTGATCAAGAATTTACTTTTCTAAGTATGGTTCGAAAAAAATGCAGCAAGCATACTTAAAAAATTTTATAAAATAATTCTACAGTCATATCAAAATGATCATAACTTGCTTTTTGTGATACAAACAATGCCTATAACAAATTAAAATGAAAAAGCAAACCACTTAAATTCAGATTTTACTAAAATGTTCACATTGTTGGGGGAGGGACTACTTGTTTACCATGCATACATAAAGGGTCCCATTTGTCCAGGATAATTCTGTTTATTCCTATTGTTCCAGTATTAATATTAATAGAGCTTCTTTTCATTCTCAAAAAGGTCTGATTGAACAATACATTATATGGTTATTCCACTTATATGGCAATCAACTCCTAGCAAAAGGGAAAACACTATATTATACCAATTTACAGTAATAAAAGTATTATTTCATGCTCTTATTAGTTATATTTACATTACTTCATTAATTTTGTGGCTCATTAAATTCTATTATCTGAATTCAGAGATAAAACAGTAACCTTTATGTTCCATATCATTTTAAAATAAGGTTTCTTAATAGAGAAGTTTAACATTACCATATTATAAAAAGCCATTTCAAAGCTACCACACTTAACGCTTCTAGATTATTCAGGGCTTATTTTCATGTGTATAATTAACTCTTCTTTGTTCTTATGGCTTTGTTCACTTGGTTAACTAACTGATATACAATTAAAACAAGAAAGTAAAAAATAAATGAAAAGGACAAATGTAATGCCTGTTGGTTTCTATAATAAGCCTGGGGTCAGCTAACCATCCGTCTACAGCAGCAGTCCCCAATCTTTTTGGCACCAGAGACGAGAGCTCCTATGAGAATCTAATGCCTGATGATCTGAGGTGGGGCTGACGCGGTGATGCTAGCGCTGGGATGCGGCTGCAAATACAGATGAAGCTTTGCTTGCACGTCGCTTACCTCCTGCTGTGCGGCCCAGTTTTTAACAAGTCACAAACTGATATCAGTCCGCAGACTGGGGATTGAGGAATCCTGGTCTACAGATTTCATTTACCAAAACTGATTCACAGCTTCCTTTCCCTTAAGTAAGAATTACTCCCAAGTAGAGATCAGATCTAGGATATTAAACTACTGTAGTTTAAAATGTACACAACGATCTTGTATAGACGTTAAATATTTAGATATTAAAAAAAAAAAACCTGCTGTATAAAACTCATCCAAGCTTAAGGGCGAACATTTTCAATAATATGTCCAGCACTTTTGATATGCATAAAAAGGACTAAAATCAGACAGATCTCAAGGAAATCATCGATTCTGTGGTTCTCCAATCTGGACACATATCGGCCTCTCTAGAAAACTTGGATTTAATAAAAATAATAACAGCAATAATAACAACAAGACCCCGAGGAATTCCATAATGTTAAAGATACTCAAAGTATGAGGAAATAACTAGAACTTTCATATTTTGCTGCATGTCAAAAATGGTAAAACCATTTTGTAAACAATTTGGCATTTTCTTATAAATATAAGTAAACATACACCTACCCTATGAGTTAGAAATTCATTTGTAGGCGTTTTACCCAAGAGAAATGGAAACAAACATATGATCACAAAAAGACTTGTAAAGAATGCTCATAGCAGCTTTATCTGTAATAGCCAGTAAGTAGATAAAATCCAAATGCCTATGAACAGGAGAACTGAGATACACATTACGGTATATCCACACAGTCAATACTACTCAGTAATAAAAAAGAAACACTACTACTACATGGAACAACAAAGACGAATCTCTGAGACATTACGCTGAGTCAAAAGGAGCAGACTGGTAAGTGTATGTGCATGATTCCATGTATACAAACTTCTACAACAGCTAAAACTACTCGAGGGTGCACGAAGTAGTGGTTGCGGCAGGAATAGGAATGGGATGGAGAATAGGGAACTTTCTGGGGTGACGGCTATGTTCTTGTACTTCAGAGTAAGGGTGTGGGTAACAGTACATTTGTCAAAACTCATGGTAAGATCTATACATTTCACTCTATGTAAATTACTCAAGTTTTTTAAAGGTTAAAAAACCCTAAGCTAGCCTATTCAGCGCTTAAACATCATCCTAACTTTTGACGCCTTGCATTAATTTTTCTTCTCACCTCTAAATTTTAAATTAATAGCCCAGTCTTTCTATTATCTAACAAAAGATTAAAATAAAATAGAAAACAGAGTAGTAAAAGGAACTAGTATTTACTAAGTATATACTATAGCCAGGTACTCTCCTATTGTCTAATTGTTAATTCAATTCTCAAAACTTCTAAAGATAGGTATACCTCCATTTAGATATAAGGACACTTATAAGGAAAAGTAACTAAATCTTTAATGCTAAAATATAATGCTTCAGAAAATTTCACAAACAAACATACATGGAAAAACAAAATTGCTAATCATATAAATACAAAATGATATAAGAATAACACAAAAAAAAACCAGCAATCTTAATCAGTAACATATAAAAAAAAATAGTTAACCAAGTAACAGTATGATAATGTAACAATTTTCCTATTACACTGGCTAGATGTGGATACCTATGCTGGGGACAAAATTAGTCTAAATATGACACCTTCTAAAGAGAAAACAACTAAGGTGAGACACCAACCCCGGCAGGTTTTATTAAATGGCAAATGAATGAGTGCTGTGACCACTCACCTTCGCCCAGTCCCATTTGCCTCAGTGAGGGAGATAACTGGAGAGAAGTTACAGAGCAGAAAATCATTGAGTGGTGAACAGTCTGACTCAGAAAGAATACTGTGCCTTTGCAAGGTACTCCCCTCCTGCCTCTTCCTGGCACCAAAAAAAAGTAAAAGAATGCTCCAAGACCACCACTCATAGAAAGCAGAGGATCCATTAGAAGAGAAGGCTGGTATGGGAGTCTATGGCAGCAGCCGGTCTATGTCCCCCTTACCCAGCCAGTCCTACCCTCCCCACAAGCCAGAACAAATTTTGCGCCCCACTGGGCACAGCCTAGAGATGCGAGCTTCATGCAGTTCAGTGACACCAGTAAAGGAAGCCAGCCCGGAGGAGTCCCGCCGGTGACCACAACTGTGTGAGAAATCAAGTGGGAGCTGCTCTTCTACATTTGGGTACTGTACTATGAAACGGCCCACAAGAATCATTGAAGAACTCAGATACAAGCTCCAACACGTTCTTAAAGTTTAAAGTCAACTGGAGGTAGTGGCTAGAAAATAAACAAATTTAAATAACTTCAAATTTATACTCCACCGAGTTCAGACTGTCATGTGTTCAAAGTACTCACAAGTAAGAATGTTCATAAGCACCTTTTTTTTACTAAACAGACCATGGTAATAATGCTTACAGGCAGTGAAAATCAAGGTTTTCATTATAAATATCAAGTTATAAAGCACAACAAAAATTCTAACCATAAATATTGTTTCTTTCCTCAAATGTCTTATGGAAAAATCAGAGCAGGGTGAGGGTGGTAGAGTTTGTTAGTTTAGTAATGTACACAAATTTTGCAAGGAAATACCAGAAAATATAAAACATACATTAATTTATTCTTTAAATAATAAATTTAAAATTCTTTAACATTGCTAATTACCTGATCCATTTTTCTTTTGCAATAATCAACAGGAAATCTAAACTCTACCAAACAGGAAAACAGGTGAAATGTTTTCTCACAAGGTGGAAAACAGTATGCAAACCAAAGACTAAAAAAACCTTCAAAGGTGTGTTCTTTCCAGCAAGTCAAACATAATACATAGTTCAAAGACTCAGTGCAGGGAGTGCAGTAAATGGAAACTCTGAATAAGGAATGAAATGTAAAAAAGAAAAAATCCCAATTTGAAAAAATTTGAGTAAAAATAAAACTTCGTAAACTTGAGAAAGACCCAAGAATAAAACACAACGGCCATGTTGCCAGCAATACTAGAAAATATGCAAGACTCACAGCCTTCTCATATTTTATAGATGAAGAAACTGAGGCCTATAACATTTACATGGATAGTCAAACATCAGAGAGCAAATAGCAATGTGCACTTAATAGGAATGAATTTAGAAACCCTTGGTTACACATAGTGGGTTAGTAATATGTAAAATAGACTGTTTGCTCTTCCCAAATATCCCCTCCACATCTTCACCTTTTCTCCTCTCTATCTGGAATGTTCTCCATCCCCATTACCACCTTCTGAAATCCTACCAGTCAGTTCTTTAAGGCTCATTCCAATGGCAACTTCTTCCACTGTTTAGCCTTCCTCAATTATTCCAGCTAGAAGAAACATATTCTAAAGTCCCGTAGTGAACTTTCTCTGACGTATGTAGAATCTGTCATTTGTATTTATTTTGTCTTCTCTACTAAACAGCAAACACCTTGATGGCAATGACCATATCAATCTTTTCCCCCCAAAACTCCAGAAAATGACGTATACCCTGCACACAGGAAGCATCAATAAAAGTATATAAAACAAATAAAAAGGGAGTAATTGTTTCAGTTAGAAGTTATGATAATTATTTTAATATCATTAAAATGCTTACTCTAAAGTTAAGATAAATATTAATAGAAAAAATATATAATTTATAGCACTGACCCTTGGTGGCCCAATAATCATGCCTGTCCACCTTGTAAGTGTCATATCTTCATCATCTTCAAGGCCCCAGCTAACCGTACCATCGCCTACTCCTTTTTGTCCTTCTTCAAGTTCTTCCAACAAGCGAAAATTACGAGGAACTTTAACTCCTATACAAAAGAATGTCAATGTAAATGTAAAAAGCTCATAATTGTAAGAGCTACACATAGTCAAAATCACTTTTTCAAAATTAACCTTTATGAAATTACTTCACCAAAGGACAATATTGCCTCTAAAAAACATACTACTCAGAAAATGCAGAATCTAATAACCTCTCAAAATAAAAATGCTAAAGAAAGCACCGTACCAAACATTAACAACAGTACAGAACATGTATATAAATTCCTAATTATCAATTTTATACTGACATATGTCAATCATTAGGGAGTCATTGAAGTGAATAGTTGAGATGTCTGTTCCTAGCCAAGATACATCAAAAAAAATTAAAAAATAAAAAAAGGTGGGGAATATGGAAATGAAAAATAATTAAGTATAAATTTAAAAAGCCTAAAAAATCAAAATAAAATGTTTCAACTGAAAAAAAAAAAAAAATACTACATCAAATAAATGGGCATGACCAGAAAGTTCAAAGTTCAATTTCATTAACATTTTTAAAGAACAGAATTAGGGTCATCCTTTAAATGCACTACAAAGTACTATTTTCTAGAATGCTAAAGCAGCCCCACCCATAGTCCCCAGTCAGTCTCTTTTCTGTTCTCATCTCTAAGCTATGGGGCCATACCTCTCCCATGTCAGCACCAGCGCATAATCATTAATCTCACTTGAGGAGTTGCTTGATTTGAAAACAAATTTCCTTATAAATATATCAATATCCTAGGACACACCCTTCACCCCTTTGCCCAAACTCTAGCAAATAAATATTACACAATCCATAAACCTTTCTCACACTTCTACTTCTCTATCTCTTAACTTCATCCCTCTTTATTTCTAAAATCTTACCACAGATATCTTTCTCCGTCTAGAATCTCCTAACCTTTCAGTTTCCCACTCCCTCATTCTCACTAAACCTAGTTGGTCTTTGCCATCAATTTGATCTCTAATCTCTGGAATCAAGCCATGATTCTTTCAACTTATCACAACCTTTCACTAGGATTACTGGCCTGGCCTCTCAAAAAAATGGACCCTGTGGTCTTCCCTGTTCACAATAGCATCTAACATGAAACATCCTCTAACCCCACTGAACAAGTACTGCAAGTCCTGAAAAAGTAAATGCCATCAGAATCCTTTCTTTGGCTCTGGCAGGAGCACTTGCTCGCACACTCTTATTCTCTCATGCACACACATACACGCAATTATGAGGCACAGGAAAGAAGTGTCATCTCCTTTAAAGTGATTGTCATTTTGCATAACTTCTGTTGCTGAAAACCAAAACATCTCTTTCACTTACTAATTCAGAGTAACCTTTCTGGACATGTAATGGAAATCCAATATGTGTTATAACCTAAAGCAGAAACACTATTCACATTATATGCTGTTTTATAAAAAAAAAAAAAAAAGACTGAAAATCTTGAGCCACAGAAATACAGAGCTGTAATAAATCACAAAAACAAGAGTAGTCATTATTACAACTACTGTGATTATTAATAAACATTTGTTGCCATACACTGTATGCTATTTTAAATAAATTATCCCTTTTAATACTAAAAGCATCCATTTTACAGTTGAGACTGACGTTTAAAGAAGTTATGTGACCTACCAGTTTCTAGAATGAAGTCACTCTTTTAACCATTAAGTTATGTAGTACTACAAGTTACACAGGCAGCATATCCTGGCTCAGATCTAGGAGTCAGACTGCCCAGGTCCAGATCCTAGTTCTACTGCCTACTTGACATGTGACCCACAGCAGTTTCATCATCTGTAAAAGTGAGAATAACAATAGTTCCTACCTCACAGAATCATTTAAACAAGGTAATCCACCTGAAACAATAAATGTTGGTTATGATCACTTTAGTCTCTATATTAAGTAGAATTATATAAAACTTCGAATTACTTCCATCTAAGTTGTGTGAAAATAAAAGTTTTTTGTACAACACCTGGAAATTTTATCCTAAGCTATAAGTCTGTATTCATATAACATTGGGACATCTGCTATTTTCCTATAGCTGTACAGTTACATCTCCACAATATAATGCTATTGAATTGCTTTTTAATGTTAAACGAACTTGATTACCCTTACCATTATGAAATTATTCCCCAAGAATAATTCTAAATTGTGTTGAATTTTGTTGTCTCCTTTTTATAACCAATTCAGTAAGGTGATCTTTATGAGCATCCAAAACTACAAAGTAAACAATGTCTAACTAATGTTTCTCTTTACATAAGTGCCATAAAAGTGATAAACCTAGTAGTTACTGCTAAACTTTTCATCATCTCTATATAGCATTTTGGGAAAACAGTTCTAAGATTAATGGATCAATTATTGGCAATGCTAACATTTAAAAGGTTATAGCAGGTTTTGTTCTTAAAGTATAAGACTTAAAATAAAAAGCAAATACAAAATGAGCTATATTTTCAAATTCAGGACTAGAGCATTCTGGTTTTTATTTCAACCAATTGCTAATGCCTGTGTGAAGAGAACAAGCCACGAGATGGGGATGTTGCTCCACAAAAGTTGCAGTGTGTACATTAGCTGCCCACTAGATCTCTTGTATCTATGAGACTTTTTCTATAGTTCTGCTTGTCCTTTTTATATGTGTATATATGTGTTATTTTTTAATACGTTTAAATATTTTAATCCCTTTAGTCTTGGATCTTCATTTTAAGAAAAAAAAAAAAAATAGCCCCTTTCTAGCTGTAATTCTTTAAATGTTGTCAATTTTTAAGTCCAGAAAAACCTCAGAGATCATCCAGTCCAAAACCTCATACTTTAGAGGGTAGAAAATTATCACCAAGAAAAGTCAGGTGATAACCCTAAAGTCACTTAACTACTAGTTGGTTGCCTAGGCCAAGTAAAAAACTCAAGTCACCTACTTGCTACTAATTTAGTCTCCTCTTTACATTACAATGAACCTCTACTAACCAAAAATAATTCATATGCAAAACTATGAATGCAAACAACCTTGAAAACATGCTTCCAGTTTTTAGTCTCAAGGATATCAACATTCCTAATCATTTGCCTTTGATTCCCAGTATACCAAAAATAAAGGCATAAAGATTGCCAAATAAATACTAGAATAAGTTTTACCATGCTGTTTATTAGAAACAGGGATTTACCAATTTTAACTCAAATTTTTACTTTTCAAGTTATAGGGGAAAAAAGCATAAATAAGACCTAAAATAGTAATAAATCTGTCAATCTATCCACACAAACATATGAGAAACAATAGTAAAGCAAATTACTATCAGTTTGCAACTAATCAACTAAATTAAGACAGCTCTGAACACTAAAAAAAAAAGTATGAGACGTATAAAGTTTTGAAGAGGGCAGTGCAGATTTCAATTTCAGCTAATGATAACAGTCTGGCAGGTACAGAACCCAATAAATTCGGAAATAATTATGGTTAATATTTTAGTGTACTCATTTTATTTTCCATACATAGTAATATATGGTTTCTGTTTTTCTCCAAAATGAGATCATATGACTCATAATTGTTACTTCCCTTTTTTCCTGCTTATGAACATATTTCTATGTCAAACACAATCAAGTACCATTTTAAAATGCTCTCAGGGAAAATTAGCCTTGTTCAGAGACAGGGGTAGGGAGACTACACTGTACCCTCTTTCGCACTTTTTGACCAGATGAATCATCACCTACTCAAAAATTAAAGGAAAACAAACGCCTGTAGGAATGGAATAAATTTTTTGTCTTACTTGCTTTCCAATCCTACTTTAGCTCGTCCTCATCAAAATGCAGGTTGGCTATAAGTTCCTTTCCCCTCACCCCACTGCCCAGAGTGTCTGAAGAGCTAAAGAAGAGAGTGTCTGGGGCACATGAACAGTGGGATGACTGGCCCTTCCAGGTTCACATCCAGCTTATGGGATGGCCAGGCTGCTTACCTGCCCCCTGCAGAGTTCTCTCAGGCACATGGCTTTGTCACTTCAACAAACCTAAGGGGTCATGTTATTAAGATGGAACTCATGAAAAGTCCCACCTATAATTTTAGTTCTCTGGTTCCTGCCCTACTCTGGAAATACTGAGTTCCTCTCAAATCTCCAACAAGAAGACTTGTCTAAAAATAACATATTTATTGAGCAGCTCCTATATGCAGACATTTGCTATAAGCTATACAGGCAAAAGTATTTCATTGAATCTCAGCTTATAACCTGTTATCATTTCACAAGGTAAGAAAATTAAGGGTTAAATTATTAGGTTGAACCTTATGAATGAAACTGCCATCTATCTGAATACAGGAAAAATCTTTTGAGGTATGACTAGCAGATAATATCCACATTTCACAAAGACCAAGATCATGGCAAACTAATAGCTGAGTCAAAACTAAAATTTCCCAACCTAGATTCAACACTCTGTTACTGAATACTGCATCTCGAAATCCAGGGGAAAAAAATAAGGCAGACTACAAAATATGTACAACTTAAAACACAGTATATATTTTTCAAAAAATACCTGTTGAAATTTGCTATATAAATAAAAACACTGTAAAGAAAGTTTTAAAATTTCAGTCCCAGAAATAGGGACTCGCCTTCTGGTTTTGCAGTGCTTAAAATTATGTTAACAAGAAGCATTTAAACAAGTTCTCTGAGTAATAGTTTCTGATTTTTCAAAAATTTAATACCAAAAAAATTTTTTGGTTTTAATATTCTTATCTTCCTAAATTCCTGATTCTTATCTTCCTAAAAAAAATTATGAGTCTATGGCCATGCCACCCTGAACATGCCTGATTCCATCTGATATCGGAAGCTAAGCAGGGTCGGGCCTGGTTAGTACTTAGATGGGACACCGCCTAGGAAGACTGGGCACTATAGGCGTTAAAAAAAAAAAAAAAATACACACA